CGATAATCACCGTCGCGCGGACGCACCTGTGTGAATGAATGAACGATACCCTCACTTTTCCTAGAGCACCGATGAAATTAGACAGGTCACTTGCCAAAGGTCATCGTAACCCGGGTCTAAGGACAGTTTGTGAAATGCACTTCTATACCATTTTAAGATAGCTTTGAGAAACTATACCATTTTAAGATAGCTTTGCGAAACTATAATTTTCATTTGCGAAACCGTCAGTTGGAATGGGGAAACCATCACTTAGATTTGAGAAAGAAATGCTGTGGTTGGATCCGCTAACAATTTACCGACACAGTCGTGTCTTGAGCGGTTTGGTCTCATCACCAAAGTGACGGATTATTCGCACAATGTGTGAGCTCTGTGATCGTGGGCTTGCGATTCGGAGGCCACAATTGGGTTTGACAATTTCGGGACATGCGAAGTGGGTTATCAAACCTGAGGTCTTCGAGAAATACCGTTGAATCACATCCAGGCGGGAACGCGAAGTTAACGGACACATTTCACTTTGCCATGGCATTTGTCAACATCTGTTACCGTGCTCTCTCTGTGATCGCCGAATGCACATCTGAAGTCGGAACGCTTGTTATAGCACAACAGGCACATTGAGTGGAGAGAGTTTTGTGAGCGGTATGTGAAAGAGCGGGATGGGCCTCTGTGCTGTTCGGTACTGCACACCAGGGTTTCTATCGCATGTTGTGTGGACCGTGCCGATTGAGGCTAAGCCGGGTGATCGAGGTGTTTGTTTGATGTACTTTTATGATGCCAGTGATGTTAATTCAAAAACGTTCGCGTTTCCCATGCACATCGCCAAAGGTTCAATTCCGGTGGTTCGAAAGCCAGATTGGACTGGTGACCTCACATACAGTCAGGATACAAACCTGAGAATCTTAACAACTTGGTCTTATTCGGATGGCCCTAGTCACCGAAAATTAAAGTGGATGAGATAGATTGAAGGATATTAAGTTGTGGTGATTGTGTATAAACTGAACATTCTTGTTTCATTACATGATCGATTGCTTTGCACAATTTCGGCGAGTAATACAAAAACCGAATTCGAATATTCTGGAGTTCTATTCCGTACTGCGTACTAGTTCGGTTGGAGCTTAGTTGCGCGGATTGTTGCGGTTCAATTCCTGATACCAAGTACAGATTACCACATTTGGCGTCGCGGCCGGCTTTTATCTCATTATGGACATCTGCAACTTGGAAATTCTCGATATTCATTCGAATTCACGTTATGTGGAAGATTATTTGGAGCGTTTTGAGATTTGGTGTCTCACCCGTAAAAGTCTGCACGCCGAGAAGAAGATAGCACATTTTCTCTCAGCTGTTGGGAAGGAAGCTTATGCGCTGATTAAAAATTTGGCATTCCCAGAGTTACCAATACAGCTGAAGTATGAAGAACTCAAGGATCTGTTACTAAAGCATTTCCAGACAGTCCAGTTCGAAGCAGCTGAGCGGGCGAAATTCCATTGCCTTTCTCGTGATCCTAGTCAGTCTGTCCGAGACTTCACTCTTCAGTTGCAGACTTAGGCTGCACGCTGTAATTTCAAAGATCAGCTTCAAACTCAGCTCCGTGATAGACTTATTG